GAAAGGCCCAGAGGAGCCAAACCACCCGGCCATCACAGTAGCCGTCACCCTCCAGTGTCGATTTACTAGGCAGGGAGGGAGGGAGGGAGGGAGTTGAACAGATGTGTTCCATAGCCAGCATGGTGCCCGGCGCGGGTACCGCGCGGGTTCCCGCAGCCGGCGCGGGTGCCCGCAGACGGCGCGGGTACCCGCAGCCGGCGCGGGTACCCGCAGACGGCGCGTGTACCCGCAGCCACTATGCGTCATCCTTGCAGTATAAAGGCCAACAACCTTGTGCACTATTTCAGGCGCGGGTACCAGTACTAGTAGTACCAGTAGTACTAGTAGTACTAGTAGTACAAGTAGTACTAGCAGTACTGGTAGTACTAGTAGTATTAGTACTAGTAGTACTAGTATTGGTAAAAGTACTAGTAGTACCAGTAGTATTAGTAGTACTAGTAGTACTAGTAGTACTAGCAGTACTAGTAGTACTAGTAGTACTAGTAATATCAGTAGTACTAGTGATATTGGTAATAGTATATACTAGTAGTACTGGTAGTACTAGTAGTACTAGTAGTACTAGTAGTACTAGTAGTACTAGTAGTACTAGTAGTACTAGTAGCATTAGCAGTACTAGTAGTACTAGTAGTACTAGTAGTACTGGTAATAGTACTAGTAGTACTAGTAGTACTAGTAGTACTAGTAGTACTAGTAGTACTAGTAGTACTAGTAGTACGAGTAGTACTAGTAGTACTAGTAGTACTAGTAGTACTAGTAGTACTAGTAGTACTAGAAGTACTAGTAGTACTCGTAGCTTGGAAGTGACCTTTGATTTTTTTCATAGAAAACCTTGTAATAAACAGAAATCCCAACCCGTTATACCCTCCCTAAACCCCCCCCTACTAGACGCTAGGCTCGGCCTCGCCGTCCTCCAGTGCTTGGGGACTTTGGCCTCTGCTCTTCATCCGGTGCTGGGGCAGCTATGGGAGGCTCCGGCTCTAGCGATGTGGGGAGTCCCTTAAAGGGTGCTAACGCTTGGGATAAAGCGTTTATAGATGTACTACGGGTCAAAGCATCAAGGTGTGCAAAGACCTTGCTAGGGCTAGGGTCTAGAGGGCCGCGAGGCGAAGTCATACCATGTACCGTAGCATCACGCCCGAGATTCTAGATGGTTTCAGGTTCCCGGGTTCGGAATGGACATCACACTGTCACAGCCGACAAGGGCAACCTGACTTGGCAACAGGCAAAGTGGTTTACTAACTCTAATATAGTTTGAGCCCTAGAGCAGCCAGTATAGCCTCGAGCCTTTTGTGTGACCAATAGACAGCCATTATCATAGTGTTAGAACTCTTATCTTAAAATTTACAAAACCAGGACAATCCCTATAGTGTTAGAACTCTTATCTTAAAACTTACAAATCCCGAACAATCCCTATAGTGTTAGAACTGTTATCTGTCATCATAAAATTTTCAGAAAACCCGAACCCTACCCCTGAAGTTTTCTTTTTTCTGGAAGAGTATAGTGGCAGACCTGTTATCTTAAAACTCACAAAACCTGAATTTGACCTTTTTTTCTGGAGGCCCCCTCCAAGCGGCTTCAAACTCTTTGCGGGCATCTCGAGGCTGGAACCCCTCCGCAGGGCTTAGGGTCTTAGAGGTCTCTAGGAGGCATAGGGGTGGTGTTCAAAATTAGGGTCCCCTTTTTGGGTCCTTAGTATAATACAGCACTTAATATTCAGGGTACCCAAACAGGGACCCTAATTTTGACAACCACCCATAGGGTACTAGAAAGACTCCCGTTACGATGACACTTAGTCAAAGGAATAAGAGTAATGATAGTAACAATAGTAATATTAAGGTATAGGGTACTAGAAAGAGTCCCTTTAGGGGTACCATAGGGTCCAGGATTGGTAGCAGCTATTCAAATTACTATTATTACTATTATTAAAATGCAAGAACGGCAAGAACAATGTCAGAAGCAAAACTCAGACTCGGGGCCTTTAAGAGTTTCTGCCTGAGGCAAAAGGCAACAACTTGCCTTTTAGGCGGTTACTGCCTTTCTCCGTGTTTCTGCACTGGCTGAGCAAGAGATCAGATGACCAGAGCTGACGGCTTTTAGAGTCGGGAGGATTCTCACGTTATAGACCTCATTTTGGGGGGAATGTGGCGATACAAGTCTTAGGCGAATGTCATGAACCTCGATGACAGCCCAGTAAGATGTCTCTGCTAGTGACGATTTCGCCACAGCTGTTTGCAGTAAAGCATATTGTTGGTCTTACTACGTCTGCTGGTGCCGTTTCTAGATATCAACTTACATGCGCGACTGCCAGTACTCTCTTTTATCGTTCTTCTGACTGATGCTGCTGCGGCCACAAACTCAACAAATCAGAACAGTAATGATGCTATCAGTAATCGTCATATTACATTGACAATGATGACGATGTCCCCATCACCATCATCAGCAGCATGAGCATCAGTGCCATCATCGTCATCGTCGCCAGCAGCACCATCTTCATCAGCATCACTATCATGATCGTCATCTTCATCAGGACCATCATCAGTCTTGTAGCAGGCTTAGCCATACATTCAATGAGTGTACTTGCATGCCCGCCACTACTGCTACTGCTAGTGCGACACCGGTGTCGACGAAAACAGCACTTTCTCCTGCGACATGCAACAATCATGGCACCGCTCTGCTTGTTTCATACAGGGCCCGTGCCTGAGCCGCTTACTGGCTCCAGTGATTGAACCCTGTACCTTGCAGGTTTAGGACGGATGTAATGGCTTGCAAGGGGCCGGCAGAGCGAGGCTTGAACCTTTGTTGAGTTCACAGCTGCAGCAACCCGGCACCCTAGGACCCTAGGGGCCTCGACAGTTACATCCCACCCTTCGTAGATTCCTTCCGTTCTTTGAGTTGCCCGATGGAGACGGCAAAGAATGGAACACTACTCGACGAACCCAACGCGAGCCGTTGAGCTCCGGCCTTAGTGCTGCTTTCGAAAGCCAAGAAGTTCGGAGATCAGAAACAAAGCACATTGCGTAGTTTCGCTGTGGTGGGGCTAACGTCTACCCCATGTCTATATCATATTAAGAAGAAGTACAACGGCCACTGTGTTTGTTGCTGTACCAGCAGCATCTGCAGGTGAAACGTAGTATTGCGGCATATCACCATCACAGGGGCCATCATGGGAAGACAGTTGACATTTGGAGGCAAGACGGGGGACATGAAGAACAATGAGAACCAGTACGCTGATGAGCACACAACATGCGTTCCACAGCGCAACTGGCACAAGCAAGACTAGCCTTGTGATCGGCAGCTCTGGCTATCATTGGGATTTGGTTATACAATTAAAATTAGGATGAAAAATGAAAAAAAAATTGGTTCTGAAATTAGGAAAAATTAGGATAGGAATGGGGTTCGGTTTTGATTTACAAAAAAATTAGGATCGGAGTTAGCCTCGGTTCTGAATTCAGGTTAAGAAGTAGGGGAGGACTTGGATTCGGTTTCCTTAATGAATACGGGAGCTAGTCAGCTAGTTTAGTTTCAGCCAAACAAAACCAAGTAGTAAGTAGTCCGTCCCAGTCCCAGGCTCTAGCCTGGCTGCCCTCCTCCGGACCTTCCCCTCCGCGCCTGGCCCTGGCCCGGCCCCAGTCCCGACAGGACCCCCGACCCCTCCTCGCCTGGCCCTGGCCCCGGGGTGCTGGTCCGGTCCCGACCCCATCCCGCAGGACCTATTTTTTTTCTCCTATTTCGAAATGGTTCTCGCTGCGGGGCTCTTATTTTTCCTATTTTTGGATCCTATTTTTTTCCTAATTTTACAGGAAAATGGGAAAAACTAGGAATAAATTAGGAATAAAATAGGATCCCAAAGTAGGAATCTGGCCCATGCTTGTCCAGGGAATAAGAAAAAATAGGACCCTTCCCACAAAGGCCTTGCAGCCCCAGCTGCCCCAGTTTCGGCGCCCCCCGCCCGCGCCTCGCCCCGGCCAGCCCGATAGCCTATTTGGCATATTGTTGCTCTTAATTACCAGTATCACAGTACATGGGCCCTACATTTTAGGATGATCCTTGTGACGACTCGACGGTTCACGGAAGGATACCTTACTCCGGCCCCAATTTTGTTTAAACGCACCCAGCACAGGCGCTGAGATGTGTTTTCAGCTCTGCAAACCCGAGGCGTTTAGCTCCAGGTCCAGGCCCTTGCTTGATTCAGTTTCTATCGGTCCTTTTGTTTCCTAATTCATTTGTTGATACATTTCCGATCCCTTTTTTTCCTAATTCCAGAACCTATTTTTTTTCAAATTCAATCCTATTTTAATCCTAATTTAATTATTCAGGGATTTCCAACGATTGCCAGCAGCTGCCGATCACAAGACTAGCCGGGATGAAGTCACAGTAGGGACTAGCAGCATGGCCAATTTCTATTCTGCCCACTGTACTCTCGCCAACACTTGTGTCTACGAAGATAAGGGAGATGAGAACAACGTGCCAGATTCCCAAGCAAGAGACGAGCTTGTAGAACCTCATACAGCTCTTATCGTATCCTGATTGAAGGGACTCTTCACAGTGCTATGATAAAGCCTTGTAGAACTCTTAGCCCTACAACGAATGGAAGACCTCTACAACCCTCAAGCCTAAACCACCTGTGCCTGTCTAAAGCACCTCGTAGCAATTGCCTTCATGAAAGAGTAATCTGCTAGCCAATCGGAGGGCTGATTGTATAATACTATACCTGGATATTCTTCCTGTCACCCTTAAATGAACCCTTTGTGACGCAATGGAAATGCTTTCAATTCCTAAACCCTCGCAACTCCTAAACCCCAAGCCCCTTACTTATGGATCCCTTTACAGGGACCCCAATAATCCCTCTTAGGCCATGGAAGAGCTCTCAACTCCTTAAGGGAACCCCTATAACTTAGGCCATGATCCCTTTAAAGGAACCCCAATAATCCCTCTTAGGCCATGGAAGAGCTCCCCTTACTTATGGATCCCTTTAAAGGAACCCCAATCCCTCTTAGGCCATGGAAGAGCTCGACGGCCACGCGCTTTACAGCCTGGGCTGCCGGGACCTGGCGAGGCTCGAGGCCTCGGCACCTGCTTTTTTGGCAGAAGAGAGGGGTTTTAGGGTTTTGGGTTTAGGGTTTTAGGGTTTTAGGGTTTAGGGTTTTGGGCTTTTGGGTTTTAGGGTTCAGGGTTTTGGGTTTTGGTGGTTTTAGGGTCTGGTTTGGTTCAGGGTTCCTTTAAAGGGATACATAGGGCTATAAGGGTTCGATAACAAGGATTTATAGGGTTTAGGGGTTCCCTTGAAGGGATCTATAGGGGTTCCTTGAAAGGGATCCATAAGCAAGAGTTCTATGAGGGATCTGTGGGGTTTAGTGTTTAGGGTTTGTTCGTTTGGGGATTTAGGACTTACGGCTTAGGGTACTTTCTAAGGGCTTAGGGTTCTTGTAGGGTTTAGGGCTTACGATTCTTTTTCAGGGCTCAGGGTTCCTGTTTAGGGCCCTTCAAAGGGGTGCGGGTTGAGGGTTTGGCTGTTTACTTGGAGGTTGATATGTAGTTATAAGTGGGGGTTATATGTAGGGAGACTATAAATATAACCCATATTAGGGAACTTATAACTCCACCTACAACTGCCCACGAACCTCCAAGTAGAGTTAAAGGATTCCTTTTTTAGAGCCTAGTTAGTGTCCCTTTTTTCGAGCTTCTGCTTCCTTCGTAGGGCCTAGAGTTAATAGGTAGGGCTTTGGGACATTTTATATTGTCCCTTATTGGGCTTAAGAGGGTCTTTTTTACTAATAGTGTTCAAAGGCTTTAAACGCCCCACCTAGGTTAGTGTTTAGGGTTTGGGGTTCCTTTTCAGGTTTAGGGTTTGGGGTTCCCTCTAGGGTTTAGGGTTCCTGCTTAGGGCTTAGGATCGGGTTTCGGGTTTAGTTAGGGTTTAGGGTTCCTGAAAGGCTTTCGGGTGTCGGGTTGGAGCCTAGGGTTCAGGAATCAGCTTTACCTGTTTAGAGTGAGGAAGCTAGGGTCCTTTCAGGGTGCCTTCCAGGGCTGCTTTCAGATTTCAGGTTCCTTTCAGATTTTAGGTTCCTTTCAGATTTTAGGTTCCTTTCAGATTTTAGGTTCCTTTCAGATTCATGGTTCTTTAAGTTCTTTAAACGAGATTGTAAGAGTATTTCAAGGGTCTTCGGGCATCGGCTTCTGTAAACTTAGTGTTCGAGGCTTACAACCCAGGGTTTAAAGGATGTTGTTTAATGTTTAGGGTTCAATGCCTGATCTAAGGTGTAATGGACCAGAATGGTGTACTGATGAAGATGTATAGAGCCATAGGTTTGACCGAAGGTGTGTAATATGAGGGGTCTTGCGAACATGAGCCCCCAATGATATACAAGCCTTGGACGTCCAGAAACCCTAAACACGTCTAAGACGCGAAGCCCTAAACAACCCCAGACTCTAAGCTCCTTAAGCTCAGGTTTGGCACCAGAAGGTCGTCCACAGTCGAAGCTGGGCGATCTGCCTTGCTCGCGAGCTTCCAGCGATCAGCTTGTCAGAAGCCTCTTCGGCTCCAAGAGAGAGAAGAGCTTGGGCTGTGGACGTGGAGTCTAGGTTTTAAGTGTTTAGGATGGCATACGGTATCTGTCGGGCGGAGGATTGCTCCGATCGTCAAAGCACGGTATATGGGAAAAACAGCGGTGCCGCAAACACTTTCTTCCGAATGCTGATTTTGTTAGAATGTTAGACTCTGTGGACCCAAAACCGGAAGCGCTCTAAGCCCTTAAACCCCTTGATCCCCACCCAGGGAACTCAATGCCGCTTACTGAAATATGTGTGAGGTATACTATAAAATCAGATATTATATATATATATATATATACACATGTATATATGAATATACGTGGTATGTACATATACATACTTTACAACAACATCATCATGACAAAATAAACTCTCCTAGCTTAAGGCATCTCCGTTCACAAGGGGTGTGGCGTCTCTGGGTAAGCCCCTGTCTGTGGACCTGGGCCTGGATCAGATAATGTGGAAGTCCGATTTTCATCAAAATTCTTCCTTATCATCGATATACCGTGATACAATCCAAAACCCTATTACCCTATTCAGTTGAAACTGTGAAGGCCCCTAGATCAGCAGACGACAAGTGCCGACAGAAACATCGCATGGACTCGCAGGGGCCGTAGAAAGACTGATTACCGTCACTGAGAACTTGGTTTGTTCGGAAGAGCTAGAACAACATCCCGTACAAATGAAGCTCAGGAAACCTCACATGGAGACATGCTAAAGTCTGCCTATGTGTAGTTTTCCGCCAACTGCGCCGCAGGTTTGTTTGGAAGCGCTGTCTGGCACGGGAAAGGCCGAGATGAAGACGCTTGGGTCAGACAGAAACGAGAATGGCTGCAACAGCGAGGACTTGTAAAGGCAGAAGGCTTTTTAATCAGAACTGAGGAGGAAGAGTAACAGGCGTCACTAGTAGAGTAGTTGTGGTAATGGTCGTTGTTGTCGTCACGGTCC